TTAAAATGTTTGTGTTTACTGAAATATAGTATAAATTTATAGTAGTCCTATCAGAATATCAACGGTATATTTCACTAATTAGTTTATTTTTTAAATAATCAATTTATGCAGGGTTATTTTTTAAAGAGTAGCCAAATTTTAAACTTAAGTTCTTAACTTAATAACTTATTGGCCAGACATGACCGTAAAAAAGCCAATCATCTGGCAATTCGAACTGTTCCAGACAAATTTAATGACCCTTTCAAAATAAGACTACGGCACGATACGAGTCACACGAGATACCTACTATTTCACGTACGAAAACGTTAGAAGTAGTGAGCACAAGCACTTATGGCACTTAAAATATCTCATGCGCAGTTGCTAGCTTCGATTATTTACAAGTTGTCTCTGTGATATTACTAGTAGTCGTTCGTAGTAGTAGTCCAATATACACTGCGAGCACTGCTCAGTGCTCCCACTAGTGAAAAATTCGTTCCATTATGGACTGCTAGTATACTGCCGCAGTACCCTAGGGAAATATACGACGTCATAAATCGCCGCCATTTTTATACTGTGAGCACTGGCGCTTTCGAGGTAAGGTGCTCTCACTACTTCGTTATCGTAATCAAAAACAACAGCAACCAGAGATTTAACAGCTTCCACGAATGATTGTTATTAATAATTAACAACATTCAAGTAATATTTTTTCTTGTTGAACAGAGAATACGTGTACATGATAAATATTTTCATTTGAAAACAGTGTCGAAAAATGGGGATGACAGCATACCTACCGGACTGCGTTCCGTTTTAAACAGTAACCAGTACTTATAGCAAACTAAAAAGGAACGGCTTCACAGTATATTGAATTGACATGACACTTTACAGTGGTCACAGTGTATATCGGAACATAGCGTAGGTGGTGGGACTCCTTTTCTGTCTAGTGGAATAGAATAAATAATAGTACTAACTTAAAAAAAAACAGTGCTACAGAACTTAAGACATAATATTTAAGAGTTCGATATGTATTAATTTTGTTATTTGGTTTAATTGATTATTGTGATTTTCCTCCTGTATTGTTTTAACACTTTCACTGTCCGGTTTTTAGACACAATAGTAAGACAATAGCAATGACCTATATGTAGTGCACGGGACAGCGAAAGGGTTAAGGTGTCTCAGTTTATTAGCTTATATTTTTTTTACATTTTTGGTATTTCTCGGTTTTTGATTTATTTTTAGGTTATGTTTCTAATGTTCTGTAATTTATCTTATAAAGTGTTACTCTTCTTGTGAAGCATGTTGTGGCTGCCTTTAATAGGTTTTACATTAAAAATTAAGCTTATATATTATGTTTTGTGAACATGTATTATTGTAATTACCTCTGGCTGTCCTTGAATAAATAAATAAATACCACCACAGAATAAACAATAGTATAAGAAGCACTACGTACTAGATACTAGTAGTCTGTCTGGGTCCACCCTTTTCCCTATTTGTGCCGCTAAATAACAGTATGTGCACTGCTGTTTTCCAATCTGAGGCAGTATAATTACAGGCTATAAGGCATTATATCTTAGTCCTCAAAGGTTACTCATCTCTAACTCTTCGTTGTTTAACTTACCAACGGTGGACTGTAAATTCTTTTGTCACTTAAGTTGTATAGAAAAGTAGAAAATCAATTATGATCACTTCATCATCAGATTACATTAAAGGAACATTTATGATTTTAGGAGATCTTTTTGATGAAGGTGAATGGAGCAATGAAAAGCAGTTCCGAGATTACGTAGACCGTTTCTTCAAAATATTTTCAGTGCCACAGGACATAAAGATGCATGTTGTGGCCGGTAATCACGATATTGGCTTCCATAATAAGTACGGACATTTTAATGGCTATCAACCATTAATTAATGGTTTCTTTTGTCCAGCCCACGGGCCATAATCCAATGCCCAGGAGTAGACTGGTACTGGCTCGTAACAGCCTACTTGTTCAACAGTTACCTCTCGCTGTAGGGAAATGAATAGGCTTACCACTCTAAATTGTTTTTCATGTATTACGTTAGCTGGAAAACATTTTTTACATTTAATGGCAAGTTTGTGGTGGAACATTTCGTTCTTCTGGTCGGTAAAAAGCAAATTGCATTGCAGTTAACGCAACGCGTTTAAAACTTTCAGGTGGCGCAAGAAAATTTAAATATTCAACGATTAGCTACTTTAAAAAATAAGGTAACTATTTAACCATAACAATCTTACTAACAAATATGCTATGTCTTAAGGATTTTAATATCTTTTAGCGTATTTTTTTTTATAGGATAAGGGTGACAAACGAGCACACAGTCCACCTGATGGTAAGTGGCTACTGCGGCCCATAGACATCTATATCTATTCTCTATTACAAATCAAAATGCACTTGCACACAAATGCATTGTCGCACGTGGGGACTAAGATGGAATGCCTCATTTCCAGTAAAAAGGGTCTCCGGTTCTCTACACTCACCATACGAAACACAGCAGTGTTAAGCTGCTATTTTAGGTTGGTATTCTGTGAGAGCGTGGTCCTTCCCCCGGTCGAGCCGACCCATTGATGCTACAATATTAATATAGCTGCAGCATGGCTCTACCACATAAAATTAATCTACTCATCGTTATCTTTTGTATAGCAATGCCATACTTTTGCAAATCCTACGAATGTTGGCATTGATTGTTTAGTAAGTTGACACCCTGTGGCGAAGAGCAGTTTTACTAGAACGTTTTTGCATTATTCAGATATTTGTCAGAGTAGCCATCACAAGCCATTACACAAAAATCCCAAAAGCCTTTGTTGCCGTGTTATGACTAAGCTAGTTAAAATTTGCCGCACTTACCATAAAATTGTTAGCTCATTATGTGCGTTAATTTAAGGTTGTAGCCTATTTTATATAGTTTACTAGCTGGCCAGGCAGACGTTGTTCTGCCCTCTCTGATGAACCTGTGTAAAAAATATTGAGGGTCACTTATAGGGATAAAAACTATCCTATCTCTCAAGTTGGATCAAACTGCACACAGTGTGCAAAATTTCATTGCAATCAGTTTAGTAGTTTAGGAGATCATCGCGGTCAAACAATGTGACACGTAATTTTTATATATAAAGATTATAATATGACCCACTGCTGCGCACAGATCTCTTATATCTGAGAGGGTCATTGAGTAATTAATTAGTCCGCGGCTGTGCTTCAGTGCATGTTGCAAATCTCAAATTATGCTAATCACTTTTCTTTCTCCATATGTAAATTTTTAGATGACATCATTAATTGAACAATGAACCTATTACATAGGGCCTTGAACACGATACGCCGCATGATAGGCCCGATGTTAATTTTCTTTTAGGGAAGCCAACTTAACTACCTGGGAACTATATAACGTGCAAAAATGATTACATCTTTGAATTTTTTTCAGAGTGTTAGAAGTCGTATGTTTGCTGTACGATCTTTGTCTTGCGATAGTAGATACGAAGGGGAAAAAAATGAAATAATCGTAGGAATAAGATTTAAATCGTACACCTGGCAGCCCTGGGTTCGACACCGGCGGCGCCTATGAGATTGTTAATTGATATTGTGTGTAACCGTGTAGTGCCGGTGTAAGAATATCCACTACCCCATGGGTGTCGTAAGAGGCGACAGAGGGAAACTTAAACAGGAGATGGGCAGCAGCTTCTTACTAATAACGACAAAAAGAAATCGCTTGCCAACCCGCCTGTTCAGCGTGGTAACAGCGGCAAATATAGGGGACATGTTTTGATGGACTATAATTAATGCGTGAATAAGTTTTATGTGTCGAATTATCACATTTATTTTATTAAAAGTAAATTCTGCAGTACTCTCGATCTCGTACACACTGGTATCCAAAATCGTAGTTTTCTTAAAAAGTCATTAATTTAATTCTATGCTTTTAGAATAGAAAAACGTACAGTTCAAAGATTCGTAAATTTATTACGAACACCTTCGGTACAACACCTAACATTAAAAGGTAGCAATTTCATCCTCATAAATTCAATGGCACTGCATGGAGATTCGTGCGAACTATGTAAAGATGCTAGGAAATCTATTGACAAGATTTCAGGTAATTAGTCATTGTATTTCCTGTTAAAATTAAAAAAAAAATTATGTGGTAGTAGTGAAAGGTAAATCCAATAACCCATATCATCTCGTGGGTGCCGTGCTGCGTTTGCCCGCCTGTTAAGCGTAGCAGCTATGCAGCAAAAAAAAGCCCTTTAAGGGAGTCTATGGACGACAGCGAAGCTTATATTCAACAGTGTACTTTAGGTAGGCTGTAAATGATTGAATGAATAAAATGACGTTACGATCAGATGTTAGTCGTAGCGTAAATGTTCTTAGAATCATCAGTACTGCTACCAAAGCTTGCCATTGACATAGACCTAACCCCATGTATTGCCACAAAACACCGGCATCGTCCTGGGCTATCGACATTCATCGACTCCTCGTGTACCTAACCCAGGTCATGATTACTCCGACTAGTGGGGTAGCGACGTTAGTCTGCTATAATCCAAATAAATAAAAAAACGCTAATTTATTGGGTCACACGATAACCGATCGATTCTATGGACTACCTATACGATCTTTCCACAATAGTGAACGATTTCTTTGGCAAGGATACAAAAACCAAAGACATTTAAAATTTCCAATTTTTTTTTAGAGAATTTGCTTTGTGGGGAAAACACACCTCAATGTAAAACATATAGAGCTACGTTGTATAATACACGTCCGATTATTATGCAGGTAAAGAAATATTCTTTATTTTAGGTATACCAGGGTAAGTTTAACTTACATCTCTGCATTAAAAATATTGTCATTATGAAAAGCAGTTATATTTATTTTAAAACTCTCTTGGTTTTTTAGCATTTTCCCCTGCTTTCGCTTTTCTGACGCTGTATGTACAGAACCTGATTCACCACCATTTCCAGAAAGAAATAAAAAATTCCGTCTAAAAATAGACGCTTTATCCCAAGAAGCTACAAAATATTTATTAACCAAGTTGAAGCCCAGAGCAGTATTCGGCGAACATACGCACCATGGATGTTTACTACACCATTCATATGAATATTTGGACAATAAAGATTTTTGGGAATATTCCGTGCCATCCTTTTCATGGAGAAACAGACCAGATCCAAAATATATGTTGGTATGGACCAAAATTCCGTGGTTATAAGTTATTTGAAAATTATAAAGATAGTTTAATTTTATGATTTAAATATCTTATATTTCTAGGTATCTATATCACCTGATAACTATGCTACTAATAAGTGTGGTTTGCCCAAGAAAAGTACAATAGCGTTAACAGCTATCATAATCATATTTTGTTTAATTATTGCGGTCTCCATGAAGAGGACAATTGGAAGAGGATTTATGATGATTAATTTAAAAGCAAGAATTCATTCTCATGATTATATTTTACAATAAATACTTCTGACAAGAGCGAGCATTTTGTACACTGTACACTTAAATGGAGATTATTAATAGTTTCCATTTGGGACACCAGAAATATTTCTTTTCAAATAAAAAGGGCATTCATACACCAAAAAGCGAATATAAAAAATACTTGTCAAACTATAATTTATATTAGTGTCTCAAATGGGGAACAATAACGCTTTATTATTCAAATTGCCTAAGAGATTATCACAAACAGTAGTTGCTTACGTACAATAACTTATAATTAAAGATTCCGAAATAAATTATTAATGAACTAATAAAGTAAATTAGAGGTAGATAAAAGTTTTAGAGATTCATTTATTCCTAATAATATCAAATACTGATTTAGGTATGCAGTATAACAGTTAAAAAGTAAACATTACATCTTATTATTTGCAATCGATGGGATATTACGAGAGTACAAGTTTTATGAGATTCAATAGTTTTAAGTACAAGTTACACGAAAACGAATAGTTAAAATTGATTTACAGATTCAAAGCTTAAAAACTAAAAATATCAGTCTATGAACTCTCAGATGAGTTCTCTTCTTATAAAAGGTGAGCTGAGCTTTGACAACTAATGCTATCATAGTTCTTAAATCAATACATTTTGTAGACACCTTTACTTATAATAAACGAACAACAACAATTTAAGTGGATGTAGTTGTATGACCTACAAAGTTAAGGCACTTTTTAAAATGTCTATATAAAAATCATTGTAAGTACAATGAATACAAAAACCAAATTTTAATGAGTATTATCAATTTTAACAGCAGTTATGTTGGTATTAACATCATAACTTTCATCTCATTTGCAGTATATACTGATATTTTCATGCTGAAATAGGCATAATGTATAATAAATTCTGATATCAGTACTTAAATAGTGTGATGTAGTAGTTCTTATATTATAAATTTCACAAACGTATACGCATATTTTACCCATATGTAAATTTACAGTTTTGTCTTCATGGAAAGTTTATATTTTATTCTTCTATACAAAGCTTGGTAACCACATTTTAATTTGTCATAACCATACATTCACACACTTACAAAACGAAAAGGACAAAGTCGACATCGGCTATGCCCTTTCTCAAGTTCTATAAAAATATAATTTGAAGCACTCTCGGCTGCTGTAAGGGTTGTGTTTGACCAGGGAGGTCATGCGAGCGCGAACGCTTATTCACGGCGTGGGCTCGCGTTCGCGTCGGCTGCGCTTGCTTCTGATGGTAACCCGTGTGCGCGTGTCGAGCTGAAGAGCATATAACAGCGTGGAGGTAACGGTCATACCTGCACAGATTTGAATCACCACCGCTAGCTAAATCTAGGTACCCATTGCCAGAATTTTCAGACTTCAACTTTTGGAATGCATACACGGGCTTCTCGCTTACAGTATGCGATCTGTTACGATGTTTCTGGTATTTATTGGTAATCTCTTCATCATTGGCTACAGGATCACTGGGCGGCGGCTTTCTGCAAAAGACAAAATGATTTTAAAGTATATACATGTTTTCAACAATTCCGGTGTAAACATAACATTCTCCCTAAATGTTTACACTGCTAGATATGTAATATAGGTATTTTCAAGAAAGTATAAAATGGCATGCATTGTTTAAAAAATTATGCACGTTGGGCAGGCAGAACTGTGAGAGCAGGGTCGGTATAGTAGATATAGACTCTCGTACTGTTTAGGCTGCCACCCATTGCGACACCATTGATTGGTCGTCAGAGCATCGTTCATTAATTAACAAGGTGATTTTTTCATCTCCGAGTACGTAGTAATTTTTTTTAAACAAAAATTACCTGTCACTAAATTTACTTTCTTTAGTATGTATAATAATTTGTGGCGACGGGACGTAAAGAGTATCCAGCGGTCATTTCATCACATGGCTGTTATGCCAGTATACATTTTTCATTCATTGATGGCATTAAACAAGATTTTAGGTGGAAGCGCCAGGGTAGCTCGCGAAATTCAAATTTTCTTACGTTTTTTGCAATTTGCAGGTCAGTGCAATTCGCGACCGTAACGAGTATGTATTTACAGCATTATAATCATCAATACAACCGTCTGTGTTCGTACAATTTCAATGTGTGGCTATTTCCAGAAAAACTCATTCAAAGGAATTATACGAACATAGACGGTTGTATTGATGATTATAATGATTATAATTCTGTAAATACATACTCGTTACGGTCGCGAATCATATTTTGTTAAACATACAACCCGACACTGACCTGCAAATTGCAAAAAAACGTAAGAAAATTTGAATGTCGCCTCCGCGCGGCGACATAAAGCTGCGTCAAAGATGCGTGACGTCTGGTACCTAGTGAGGTCGTTAATCACCTTGACAATGGTATCGATTATAGCAAATCAGCGGACTTTTACGGCTGATTAAGTAGAAAGCGTGTCATATTTGTTTTAAAATAGCTGTAAAATACTAACCTTGAAGTTTGAAAGTTCATGTGATTCTTTTCCATGTTAGCCTGAATGATTTCTAGTAGTTCTCGTCTTTGCAAACTGCCTGAACGTTTCTTAATGTGTCTGTGTTCGCGGTGTTCTTTTCTTGGATGCCGGTGATTCCGGTGACGAGAGGCCGCCGCTCTTTGCTGCGGTCTCCGGTCTCCAGAACACGAGGACTTGGATGACGCGTCATCGTCGAACGAAAGTCTCTCGTGTGCATCGTCACTATTATCCGCGCATTCGGGCGGTGCGGTATTTTGATTCTGTTCCCGCCGGCGTCTTCTCCTCCCCTCCCGCCTGTCGCGCTCACTACGCGTCCTCCCGTCTTCGGGCACGACCGTTAATCGCACTTGAATCGTTTTTGATCCGTAGTGGGGAACCGTAACTGACTTTCCAATCGACTCGTATATTGTGGACACTATACCAGCAATATCCTGTCAACAATACATTTTATTGAACATAATATCATGACGTTTTGTAACAAAATTTGACGGATTTTATATTAAATTGGAAACTTCATTTTGGCGTTAAATTAAAATAGGTCAAAGATTCATGAGATAAATGAATATCAATATCAAAATTAAAATTAGTAACTAGCTCTAATGGCGGCTCTTCACGTTGGCCAACATAGTGGCGAATGTGTTGGCAAAGATATTGGGCAAGAATTTGTGATCGCGTCCACACGTTGGAAGGTCGTTCAGTTTGCTTCGGTTCAGGCCAATGTGCCGACGAATTTATTAAAATGATTATTGAAGCGCTAACGGCTGCTGCGGTTTATTTATTCACAGCATACCACTATTTTTTTATTTAATTTTCACTATTTTTAATATAAATTTTTAATATTTCTTTATTATACACTAACGTTATACAGATAAGTAAACTATATAAACATTAACACACCTAGGCATAGGTATAATTATCACTTTTACAACTAAGGCCTGGAAAATATTCGAAGCCTGTCTATGAAACTGATGTAAAATTTTATTAAACAAAACCTTTTTAAAAAGGGTTATTCTTATTATATAATTATAGAATAAAACTTAATAATAATAATAAATAATTTATTTCGTCAAACATTAAAGTTACATTTATACGATCAGTGATCGAGGTCACCTAGTAAGCAAAATAATGCCTGTAACAGGTGACTTCACTCTTCCATAGCTAAAAATTACAGTATTATTAACGAAATAAAGTAACTAATAGGGAATAATAAAGACAGTAAAAACATGATTTTAGTATCTTACTTCTTAATTTGATTTTAATATATATTATATATTATAGATTTTAAGATATTTAATAAATCAATTAATACATCAATAAATTAATTAATACATCAATCACTACAACGTGAATGTGTATAAGATAAGGGTGATCAAAAAGAAATGGAAAAAAGAAATTTTATTTCTTGACGGCTCCGTGGCGTAGTGGCTTAGCAATGAGTTGCTGCGCTGGGGGTCGCGGGTTCGAATCCCGCACGGAACAAGTATAGCCTGCACATAATTTCTCCGGGTCTGGATGTTTGTCCTTATGCAATTTATGTTTTTAAACTGCCTCCACGATACAGGAGAAAATCCTAGTGTATAATAACATTTTTTTTTAGAAAGACTTGTGTTTTACAAACAATTTTCGGCTTGGTAGGGCTCTATAAAGCGAAAAGTTTTTTCATTGGTCATTGTTACTGCCGTTATGTAGACACTAGTTACGATGCGTGCATATAAAATTTAAATCAGGTGCGTGCAATCACTCTGGGAGCTCGTTGCAAACTGAACCATGCCCTGGTAACTTAAAACATTTTTTATTTATTGTGAAAAGCGCCATCTATCCCGCATACATGGAACTTTTTATTGCAGTGTTACCACTCTTTTTTTTACTTGGAACACTTGGTACTTTAAAATAACGGATGATTTTGCTATTTTTCTTTTATTAGTCCAGGTACACAAAAATAAATGATTTAACAACAGTACAATTTATTTTAAAAATATTTTATATTAAGTACTAGTGACATTATAATTTATATAGTATTTATTACAGTTACGATCTTAGAATCTTTAGAGTAGTTTATTGATACCAAATTTTAACAACACTGAGTCTAACTAGAAGAAATTTCTCACCGGTGTGTTTGCATACTCGTGCGCATTTTTCTTGTAATTTTTGGTGTTTTTTATGTTACTACGTTGAGTCGAGCTTCAGTTTCTTCGTATATTCCAGAAATACCGAAATTCCAGCATAGACTGTACTTTGTGGAAGTGTTTTGGACATACATGTTGATAGGCCCTCCGTAGGGAGTTTGGACCATATATATCTCAGTGTAGTGTTATTTTACATTTTACACAATGCCACGAAATATCTTCTGTGTTCCTGGGTACCAAGTAGTAGCAGAAGATGGTGAGTAAAGTGTGTTTTTATATTCTGAAGTTTCATAACCTCAATAATCTTTTAAACAAATATGTGTATTCTACGCTGGCTTATATTCTACGTGCCTAATACACCATAAACTGGTTAATCTGTTTTTAACAATTAAAAAGCAGTGAA